AATTGCGAATGCAACTCCACAACAAACCTCGCGAGCAACCTTCCGCTACGAATCATTATTCACAAAACTTGTTGTGAACGCCGCTCCACAGCTAGGAAGAGGCGGTGGAAAATGGGGGAGGATGTTGCTCAACTATGGCTGGTGCCACTGGAGCTCGGCATTCACCAGATGACGCGGAGGAGGAGGAGGAGAACAAGGGGCTCAATTTTGAGGAGTAGGGCAAATATGGTTTGGAGGAGAAGGTGGAGGAGGAGGTGGTGGAGGGGGAGGAGGAGGAGACGATGAGCAGGAGGACAAACATTGGGAGGAGGAGGAGAAGGAGGAGGAGGAAGAGGTGAATGACGATTCAGAGAAGGAGGAGAAGGAAGAATAGTAGGAGGATTCTGATGAGGAGGACAAACATGAGGGAGAGCTTGAGGAGAATTTAAAGAAAGAGGAGGGGAAGAGAAGCAGGAGGAGGACAATGAGTTGAAATTTGCGGAATCGGAATAGGAGGAGGACAACATGCCGAAGAGGAGATGGAGGAGGATTCAGAGAAGGAAGATGAAGAGGACAGGAGGAGGAGGAGGAGGAGGAAGAGGAGGACAAGGAGTTTGAAAGTGAGAGGGGGTAGGAGGAGGAGAATGATGAGGACAAACATGAGGAAGAAGTGGATGAGGATTCATAGAATGAGGAGGACGAGGGGAAGGAGAAGGAAGAGGAGGAGGAAGAGAAGAGTTGAGGCCAATGCATTTGATTTTGAAGCGGAGGGGGAAGAAGACAAACATAAGGAGGAAGAGGATGTGGAGGAGGATTGGGAGACGGTAGAGGAGGAAAATGAGGAGGAGGACGAGGAGGACAAGGCGTTTGGCATCGAGGAGGAGGAGGAAGAGGAGGACGAGGAGGAGAGGACAATTATGAGGAGAAGGTGGAGAAAGCTTCAAAGAAGAAATATGAGAAAGAGAAAGAGAGGGAGGGGGAGCTTGAGGTTGAGAAGGAGTAGGATGCTGAGGAGGAGGAGGAGGAGGAGGAGGGGCATCATAAACATGAGATGGTGAGATTGGATTGCAATGCGCCGCGAAAGACTGAAGTCGCTTCGCGCTGAAGCGTTTAGATTGCAATCGACGGAATTGCGGTTTGCAACGTAGCAAACCATCATGAAGAAAAACAGGAGGAAGGAACGGGTTATGATGACTGGAGGGATGATGGGAGAATGTGTATGATCATGTGGGGGGGCGAGCATATATATATATATATATATATATATATGTGTGTGTGTGTGTGTATGTGTGTGTGTGTGTGTGCGTGTGTATGTGTGTGCGTCAGCTGTGCCCAGTGCGGAGTGACACCCCTTGGTCGCTCATCCTGGGGGCTTCCTGCTGGCGGCATCGCCGATGCGGGCTGGTACGCAAAACCCCAGGAACGCACGAAGCCTCCGGGAAAAGCCTGCAGGCACCGCTGGTGCGGGCTGGTCCGGGACCCCCCTGGGATGCTCGGAGCCTCCGGGCTGCTCGGAACCTCGGGAGGGGTGTGGGAGCGCCCGGAGGGCGCTGACAAGCGCTCAGGAATCCTCCAGAACACGCGGGATCACATCAGGATTCTGCCGGAATCCCTCACGAGTCCGCCGACCACTTGGGGCCTGCGGGCGTGTGCGGCGGTTGCCCCTCCCCGAACCCCTCCCACGGGGGCCCCGCCCGTCTGGCTTAGAAGGGGGTCTGTGTGAAATGAGCTGGCGGCCCCAGCCGTCTCAGAGATGGTCCTGGACGGCTTGCTTCGGCATGACTCTCAGTGGCTTCTCAACGATCCCCGATGGCACCCAGTCGTCCAGACATGGCTTCCAGACAGCCCTCGGAGCCTCCAAGACGCGAGCCGAGGGCTTCAAGAGGATCACCCGCGAGAGCGGCCCAAGAGACGCCAAAAGACGCCCCAAATGACCCCGAGACGGGCTCAAAACCACCCAAAATGGCCCCATGACGGCCCAACACGGGCCCCACCGAGACCAAGATGGCCCCCTTAACTACCCCGCAAGGCACCGCGGACGGCCCAGGAGGGCCCTCTGAGGCCCGGTGGAGGCTCCAGGATAACCCTAAGGACCTTCCACGAGTCCCTCCCTATCCCAGTCATGCTTCCTTGTAAGCAATGCCCCCTGCGAGCAGTACTTGGCAAGCCAGGGCGCGCTCCTCCAAAACACCAGTCGCCAGATGTGGCGCAAGCCTGGGCGATAATGCAACGTATCCTATGTTTCCAATAGTTGCACACTTGCCACATATGGTATTGTGTACATTGGTATGTGTTTCCTCCTACCCCCCTAGAGTCGCACCACTTCCGTCGACACAGACGTGATGGATTCCCCTTGGGCTTCGAAACTTAGAAAGACCTATGGCACATCTATGATTTGGGCCACTGGGGCCTCTTTGGGGTCCAAGAGTGCGTCAAGGCGGCTCAAGATGGCCTCAAGACGGGCCAAGATAACCCCAAGACGAACCAAGATGGCCCCAAGAGCACCCCAAAAAGCCCCCAAGAAGGCTCAAGACGGCCCCAAGAGGACCCCCAAAAGCGCCTCCAGAGGCCAAAATCATTGGTTGTCCCCTTGTTTCGACTCTCAGGGGCCCATGACGGCCCGAGCAGCTCCAAAATGGCCCAGACACAACCCAAGAAGCCCCCAAGAGGGCCCCAAGACGGCCCCAGAGGGAACCAAGAGGGCCTAAAGACGCCCCCAAGGCGGTCTTCGAGGCCTCCAAGACGGCCCAGGACCCCCAGAGAGCCTCAAGGCGGCCGCGGGAGGCCCACAGGACGGCCAAACAGCACAAGAGCGCCTCAAGACGGCCCAAGACGGCCCCAAGAGGCCCGAAAGCAGTCCCTAAGAAACCCCAAGAGGCCCCTAAGGGGCCTCCAAGCGGCCCGGAAGAGGCCCCCACCAGGCAACTCAACGACTGGATTGCACGTGCAGCGGACGTGCACCCCGCGAAGCGAAAGGAATCCACGTCCGGAAGGTGACGTGCTGAGCGGCAGCGTTTTCCGCGGACGTCTTACACTAATTCAACATATTGTTATTGGATTGTGTTGCATTATGATGTCTCCCCCAACCCCCCCGAGGTCACGCCACTTCCATCGACCCCAAAGTGGAGAACCCTGGCTGGGGTCCAGAAACCTATACAAACCAATGAAAAATCAATGATTAGGGCCCTTCAGCCCCTTAAAAATGCAAAAGGGTCCCAAGACGGCTCAAGACGGTCTCGAGACGGGCCACGACGGCCCGAAGACAGCCCAAGATGGCCCCAAGATGGTCCACACGGCCCCCAAGACGGCCCCAGAGGGCCCCAAGGGGGCCCCCTGACTTATTAAATGTTCCCAAGTCTGTTGCAATTGCCACAACTTGTGCTGATTTACAATATCCGCCACCGTGCCGCTGGGCATGGAGTGGGCGTGTCACCAGGTCCTCGGCCAAATCCTCGAGTCTGGAACGGGCCCGGACACCAAATTCCGAAATCGCTCGGGGCTTCCCGCGCTCTCGGGGCCTTCCCCCGTGCCCCCTGGGCTTTGGGACGTGGTGGCGCGTGATTTGTTTCGGGCCCGAGAGACCCAAGACGGGCCAAGAGGGCCCCAGGGGGCCTCCAAGACGGCCCACGAGGGCACCGAGACGCCCAAAGACCGGCCCAAGATGCCCAAGATGGCCTCAGGATGGCCCGAGGGGCCTCCCAAGAAGCCCCAAGAGGCCTCCACGAGGCCTCCCAGAAGAGCCTGAGGAGGCAAACATCCTTAGGTGTTCGAAGTAGTTGGGCGCTCTCGCCTTTCCTGCTTTCCGAAGCTCCAAGGAGGCCCCCAAGACCACCTCAAGACGGCCCAAGAAACCTCCAAGAAGGCCCCAAGACGGCCTAAGAGCGCTCCAAGACGGTCCAAGAAGCGCCAAAGACAGCCCAGGAGGGCGCCAAAAGAGGCCCAAGAGAGGGAACACGAACCGAACATCCGAGGCTTCCGCCCCAAGAGAGCCGCCAGGAGGCCCCAAGAGGCGTCGAGGAGGCCCCAAGAGGCCTCCAAGAGGCCAACAAAAAGAGGCCCAAGAGGCCCCCAAACGGCCCCCAGACACCCCCTAAGATGCCTCCAAATTGCCGCCAAGAGGTCCCCGTGAGGCCTCCCACGTGAAACCAACAAACGTCCAATAGGCCCCATACCCAAGGCTCAGGCACGATGGCGGGATGGGCAGTCTGGGGAGAGCGGCAAGGATCGCCTGGCCAGCCGGGGCACGCAAAGCAGTCACAGTGACTCACTCTGCGCACTTGACCAGCATTAAAATCGAATACAGCATGTGCAGCCTCGTTTCCTACGTGCCGATTCATTGCGTCTGCGCGGCCTCGTGTCCGATTGGTCGAGTCACTGCACACGCGTAAGCATTGCACGAGCTTCAGGCAGCAAAGCGCAGGACAACGGGGGAGATGTGAGGAAGAAGGTTGGAGAATAGGCAAAGGACGACAATAAAATGCTGAGAACATCTTCCAGACAGAGTTAGGGGCGAGCGGCAAGGGCCGCCTGCGCAAGGGCCTGGTCAGCTGCCGCCACCCTAGTTGTGCGGCTCCAAGCTGCCGTTCTGGGCTTGATCGTTGCCGCACGACGACGTCTGCGACTGCTGCTTTGCCACGTTCCGGCGCGTCCCCAGCTGGCCCTCCAAGGTCTCGAGCAGGGAATGCGTGCGCTGCAGCCCGTGCGCCATCTCGTACCTCATGGTGTGCAAGTCCAGGCTGGTCGCCTGCCCCTTGATGCGCAGGCAGTACGAGACGATGGTGTCGATCTTCAGGGAGTCCACTTCTCCGCGCTCGAAGAGCATCTCGAAGAAGGTGCTGGCCTCGTAGATGTGCACGCCGTGCGCCAGCAGGAAGTCGTGGAACTGTGGGCTCTGGAGGCAGGTCTTCAATTCTGCATGCGACATGGTCTTTGACGAGTCAATGTCCATTTCCTCGAGAAGCTTCTTGAGGTCTTCAGCCACTGAGAAGTCCTTCATACGCTCCTCCATCGCGAGAGCATCGTTATCGGGTTTGGCCATTTTCGACATCTTCTCGACGAACGTAGCGGTAATCCTACCAGCCCTTTGGGCGACAGGTGGTCTAAGGGTGATCTCTCTCTCTCTCTCTCTCTCTCTCTCTCTTTTCTTCCACAACCCCTCTTCCTTTCCAAGGGGGAACCCTCCCCTTCCCTTCCCTGGGGTTTTTTGGGAGGGGGACCGATGTGTCAGAGGGTCCCTTTTCGGCCAGCGGGAGGGCCAAAGTTTGACCCCCCTCACGTGACCCCCCTCACGAGAATCGTGGCCTCCGAGGGGGGGGGGCAGACATCGAAGACCCCACCGTCTTTTGACCGACCGCCTCGAAAATGGCGCCAAGAGGCCCTCCAGGGCTCCCACGAGGCCCCCAAGAGAGCCACAAGAGCGCCCCAAGAGGCCCCAAGAGGCCTCCAAGTGGCACCCGAGAGGCACCAAGGAGGCTACGTGAGCGGCCCCCCCAGGAGGCCAAAGAAGCTCACCCGAGGCACGCAAGACGCCGTCTCCTCCTCGTCCTCCTCGTTCTCGTCCTCCTCGTCCTCGTCCTCGTCCACCTCCTCGTCCTTATCCTCGTCGACCTCCTCGTCCTTATCCTCCTCCTCCTCCTCCTCCTCCTCCTCCTCCTCCTCCTCCTCCTATTCCTCCTGTTTCTTCTCCTCATCCTCCTCCTCCTCCTCGTTCTCTCGTTCTCGTCCAGATCCTTCGTCCTCGTACTCGTCATTTGCCTCCTCCTCCTCCTCCTCCTGATTCTCATCCTCCCCCTCGTCCTCTTCCTCCTCCTCCTCCTCCTCTCTTCCTCCTCCTTCTCCTCATCCCCCTTCCCTTCCTCCTCCTCCTCCTCCTCCTCCTCCTCACTCTCTTAGTCCTCGTCCTCCTCATCATCGTCATCCTTCTCCTCGTCTTGCTCCTCTTGCCTCCTCCCTCATCCTCCTTCTCCTCCTCCTTCTCATGTTCCTCTTCGCTCCCCACCCCCCCCCGCGGGCCCGGAGATGGCCCCAGCACGCCGTCCAGGCGGGCCTCCCTTGCTGTTTTACGATGCGTGTCTCTTCCTCTTTCCCCACGTCAGCTCTCATGGGCATCGCTTCTGGATGGGCTGGTAGGGATACGCGAAGCGTCCATTATTATATTCCAAACCGCAATCACGAAGAAAAGGACGTACAAAATGAAGCAGAAGGCTACAAGACTGCCTGCTTCGGAGAGCACAGCATAGACGTCGCGCCAGTCAAGCCCGCCGGTCGTGGCCTGTAACAGCGTGAGCATAGTCTGCGCCACCGAGCCAAAGAATTCCAATATCCCTTCGAGGTGCTCATCGTCCACGCTTGGGAGGTCGCAGAGACTGTACACAAAGAAAATGGCAAAAACGTACGTGATGAACGCGAGCAGCGCGAAGCAACCGACGAGGGATCTCAGCGAGCCTGTAACCTGCGTCACCATCCGCTGCAGCTCCCCCAGCCCAGCGTGGCGGAGCCCCCGGAACACCCGAGAGACCTTGACAACCTTCAGGATGCGAGCAACACGCAGAAACGACAAGGAGTTCTGCGACATTACGAAGTCGCTCAGGATGGAAGTGACAATGATGCCCATGTCGAACCAGTTCCACTTCATGTTCTCGCCGTAGAAGAAATAACGCCCCTCCGAAGCACCCCGCAAAAACAGCTCGATAATGTACAGAACTAGAAAAATGGACTGCTGGGCCTTGGTATGGGACGTCTCGCTGACTGTGTGCACATAGTTCTCCATCTGCGTGTTTGCATCGATGGCCACGAAAACCGTATTGGCAAGAATGATAAGGGCACAAGCTACTTGGAAATAAGGGCTTTCCACGAGCTTGTCGACGCACCTCGTGCCCTTCGGGTTCTTCAGTGCACCCCACCAATCCAGCCACTCCTCGAATTTAAACAGCCATGGACTGCCGCTGCTTCTGGTGATCTCCTTACAGATCTCCAGAAACTCGCCCACCTGGGCATAATTTGCCACCGTCGCATGGCTGATGGTACTAGGGAAACAGACAATGACATAAACATAAAAACTCGGAGGTCCGCGCGGATTTCTCGGATCGGCGCTAGACCCCACTCCCTGCTGCGCGGAGCGCGCCAGGGGCGGCGCCGGAGGCGCCGCCTTAAGGGGCTCCAGCGCGGATCCGAGAACTCCCCGCGGACCTCCGAGTCTTTATGCTTATGCCACTGTTCGTTCCCCTTGGATGCCCCCAGAGGCGAGAGCCTTCCCGAAACTCTCCGCCCGCTCCATCTCGCTCCTCCTCTTCGTCCCCAGACCCTCCAGGAGGCGCGGCGCCGCCCCGCTGCCGGGGGGGCCCTCCGCCGGGCCCACGAGAGCCACGGACGCGGCCGGCGAGCCATCGGAGCACTCCGAGAGCTCGCCCGTGCGGTCCGAGGTTGCGGGCGTGTGCCTGTGGATGGCCTGCAGGATCTGCTCCGTGTGCTTCTGCAGCACGTCGTCCAGGAGCAGCCGGAGGCTTTCCTGGTCGGCGGCCTGTGCCTTGAGCCCCTGCGCCTGGCGCGGCGAGCGGCATGGCGCGGCGTGGACCCTGGGCGAGCGCTGCGTCGAGGCGGCTGGCGGCGGCGGGGTCGCGTGCGCGAGCGTGCCGGGCCGCTGGATTTTGTTGTTCGACGTGCTCGGCGGTGCCTCGCAGGCGTCTCCGGCAGAGGGTGGGGGAACGAAAAATGGCATAAGCACGATACCGGAGAGACACCCCAATCATAATCTTTTTGGGGGTTATGGGGCTATGGGGCTATAGGGCTATGGGGCTACTATAGAGCTCTAGGGCTCTAGGGCCATAGGACTATAGGGCTATAGGGCTCTAGTGCTATGGGGCTGTAGGGCTATAAGCCTGTAGGGCTATAAGGCTATAGGGCTATAGGGCTATGCACCCGGCCGCGGAACTCGGCGGCGCACCTCACCTGGGCACCTGGGCACCCGGGCACCCGGGCACCCGGGCGAGCCGCCGAAATCGGCGGCGCACCTAGACTAACCATCTGAATCCGCTAGGACCCCTACAGAGGCAAGCTCTGATTGGGAAATGAGAACTCGGAGGTCCGCGCGGATCTCTCGGATCGGCGCTGGACCGCAATCCCTGGCGCGCGGAGCGCGCCAGGGGCGGCGCCGGAGGCGCCGCCCAGGGGTCCAGCGCCGATCCGAGAGATCCGCGCGGACCTCCGAGTCTTTATGTTTATGCCATTGTTCGTTCCCCTAGCTGCGGCGCCGCCCTGCTTCTCGTCCTGCTGTATCTTGTTGGTGGTCCTTCTCCGCGCGCTGTCCTGTCTCATCTGAAGCCGCAAAGGCTCGATTCCATCCACGGACCGGGACGCTGATGGCATCGCTTCCCTTTAGATGCGCCGCTTTCTGGAACGCAGGCGGGCGGCGGGGGCGAAGGACAGAAGCCGATGGCACTGGCAGCCTTCCTCGACTCTTGAGCCAAGACGGCTACAGAACCATCGTGCACCAATCATGGGGCACCGCTCGGAGGCCATCTCCCATCCGACACGCCAGAAATGGCAAGTTCACGTAGAGCCCAAGTAAGAACAACGAAGTGCAAGCACTGCTTTTGGCATCTAGAACACAAAACAAATACGCGTGTACATATTTGAATATACGTATATAGAAACAGCGACAGAGAGAGTGAGAGAGAGTGACCACGCGATCGATGGAGATATACAGGATGGAATGTGCATGTATAAAAGGAGAGAGATAGAGTGAGAAAACAACAAATAGGAAAGGGGAGAGATAGAGAGAGGGGGGTGAAAAAGAGCAACACAAGTGTCATATCTGACGTCCTACCCCTCCCTCCCAACCCTTACAACTGCGTTGATCTCCTCGCGATTCGCACAGTCCGATGTCGAACATGGCAATGATCCCGACAGAGTGCGCGATGCATGATATAGATCGGCATGTCATGGCATAGAAGAGTACGGCCACAGCCGACATCGTCGCGTCAAGAACGCGACCCATTTCGACAATAAGGTCTGAGGGAAAACAGGCATGACACAGGACGGGAGATGCAAATGGACGGTCTGGAAGGCAAGAAGCGCAAAATGAGATCAACACTGCAGTGGGAACACGGCGTCGCAGGACCGAAGCCGCGGAAATGAGACCGAGCTGCAGTGGGGGCACGCTTTGGAAGTACTGGAAGCGCAGAACCGAAGCCAACGCAGCAGGAACACGATTTGGAAGAACCAAATCAATTGAACGAGATCAGCGCTGCAACGGATACGTGGTTTGGAAGGATTAAGGACGGAAACATGGAGCCAACGCTGTAGTGGGAACGTCATTCTGAAAGGAATGAAAACGCTCGGATTGGAAAATCAGATCTCACTTGTCAACTCGGCGGCATATACGCGGATGAGACTAGGACACCTCACCGGCGTCTGTAGGTGAGAGAGGAGAAGAGCATTCGTATTGTGAGATGGTCAACGAAAGAACAGAAGGGAAAATAAGAAGGAGAGAGATGGCGTACAGTGGAGACCCATGCCAAGAAACACCCTGCTTGCCTCAAGGGTGCCCTGGGCTTCTTGGGCTTCGATGGTTTTGCGATGGAGAGCGCGACGTTTCCTTACCAACACTTCATGGCGGCCTTGGGGTCTCAGGGATGAGTCTCTTGTGGAAGGTCTCTCGTGGAGTGGCCTCTACTGTAGGCGGTAGATAGGGGAGGGGCACCAATAGGTGCATAGGAGAGAGGGCAGGGAGGGAAGACAGAGCATGGATGGAGTACACGCGATCTGTCCAGAAACCTTGCTGCTTCCACCTCAATCAGATCCCGTGTGCCCCAGGGCCGCCGATCTGGCACGGCAAACCTCGGAAGACAGGCTTTGCATCGGTGGACACGCAAGCCGTGCGCTCCGCTCACTCCCCCTGCTGAGATCCGGAGTAGACAGTAGTCGCTCGCCAGAGCAAACTTCTGCACCCGAGTGTTTGCGGAATCTGTTGCTCACTGAACTGGCCTGTGGGCCCGTGGGCTCTTGTCCGTGATTAGCGCTGCTGGCTCGGCACAGCCTGGGCTGGAAAGACTCCGTTGGCTGGCCCTTGCACTCGTGGTCGACCAGCGGCGCACTTCGGTCGACATGGCTCGGGTCGGCACCGTTTCGGTCGGCGTGTCTCGGGTCGCGAGGCTCGCCTCACAGATGGCACCCCAGACGGCAACCCCACAGGCTGCACGTCGCGTGTCCGCCCACGCGCTGGCATCATAACATCACCAGAGGTACCTGTCGACAGCACTGGGTTCAGGCATACCGTCGGACAACTGTGGCAGCTGTGGGCCGGCTGTGGGCGACAAACCTGTGGAGCTCAAGCCGGGGGGGGCTCCAGCTGGGCGAACCTACCAATGGCTGAACCGACCTATTGGCGTCCTACAACACGGGGCTTTCAAACTACAGCTTTGCAGAAGCAACCACTCGGATGGCTCTGGCGGGGTCGTCGGGCTTAGGGGCTCTTGGACACGGCCTGCCAACCTCAACCTCCGCCAACACCTCGACTCCGGGGAGAGGCCGCGTGGACTCTCAACAACGCACGCCCTCGATTGGCCTTCTGGCCAGTGGCGAGCATCACACCTTCGCAGCCAGCTGATGCTGTCATTGCCGAGTCTGCCACCACTTTGCACTCGGATCACCACGGACTTGTCTCGCTACCCAAATGCGGTACACACTGAGCAATCCCCTCAGCCGGGCCTTCTGCCTGCAACTATTCGTTCTCTTCAGATTTCATCCTCAAAGAAAAATGGGAAGAAGGAAGGGGGAGGAATAGAAGGACGGCTAAAGAAAGAAAGGATGCGAATGTGGGCATGAGAAGAGGGGATTGGAAGGACGGATGAGGCATGCAAGGAAGGATGAGGGAAGCAAATGTAAGGGGAGGACAAACGAATACAACATGCACATGACATCAGAATCATGCCTGCAAGCAGATGCCCAACGGAAATATGTTATCTTCCGATGGCCCTAGGAAAGCACAGGGGCGCTCGAACACTCTTTGAAGCTCAGAGCCCGACGCCGAATCTGTCCCTAAATGGCCGATGGTTGGAGGTCGAATCGCACGCACCTGCCGAAGGAGCACCAGGTATCCTCACCCGACATGTGTCGGGGTTCCCAGGCTCCCGAACAAGCACTGGCGCGCCCGCCAGGCCTGAACACCGCAGGCGAAGGACAGGAGGGGAGAAGCCACTGCGGGCAGGAGCAGCGGCGAAGAGCGACGAAGACAGAGAGACCGAGGATGCACAAAGACATGCTAGCCCTACACGTCCGCCTTGGAGGCGTGCGTCCGACCTGGACGTATCGTATAACCATATTGTGATGTACCGTTTCCCGAGCGGTGTGGCCAGAAAGCGCCCGCCACGGCGCGTATACTATAAGAGTTCTCGGTGCGCGCGTCGCCCGTGGAGGGCGACGCGCATATGGGTACTGTTGTGCCGGTGTGACGCCGAGAAGAGGGAGAGAGGGAGAGGCCAGACCAGGGGCGGGTCACACGACGGCAGGCGAAAAGGGGGACAGATGGGAAGGCGAGGCACGCGGGCGAAGGGAGGCGCAGGAGGCAGCACGAGGCCGACGGGGGTGGGGGGCTTCGGTGGCAACGCATGGGCGCCTCCCGCACCATCTGGTCGGCTCTTGCGAATCGAAGCTAGTCGACGCTAAATCAACGCTCGAATCGACGCTGAATCGACGCTAATCGACGCTAGCCGACGCTAGGTCGGCGCTAACTCACCGACTCCCAGATGTTAACGGGCGCTAATCGACGCTAAGGACGGAGAGGGTATAAAGAGTCTCATGATTTGCGACCGAAGCACAAAGAGGAAACGAGGGAGAGAAGGGGGGGCCAGACGGGGGCGGGTCACACAGCGGCAGGCGAAAAGGGACAGGTGGGAAGGGGAGGCCGTGGGCGAGGAGGCGCAGAAGGCAGCAGCAGCACCGCTGGAGGCCTCCCGAATGGGGTCCGAGTAGGAGCCCGGCAGATGGTGTCGGTGGATCGATCCGCATCGCGGATGCATCTCTGATGCATCAGCGATGCATCGGCGACGTCGGCGCGGAGAAGATCGGGCTCAACATCGAGCCGCATGCCCGATGCGTCGGCGCTGCGGCGCGATCCTCCGAGCCCACGTTCTCGGACCCCATCTGGGAGGCCTGGAGCAGGCGGAGGACGAGAGGGCCAAAGGGGGCGGGGGGGCCAAGCGAGGCGGAGGGCGGGCACGGCGAGGGGCAGGAGCTCCTCGCGGCCTGCCGCTGTGGCGCTGCCGCAGCGCGAGCGACCAGCAGTGGCCTCACCAAGGGGCCCTCCCTCCCCTCCCTCCCTCCCTCCCCCGCGCCCGGGCGCGGTGCCCCAAAAGTCGAAGGGCGCTCTGGCACTCCAAACATCGGTGGCGCACCGGCGTGTGCCGTGTCAGGCCCAAGCACCGCCGCGGATGGCCCTGGCCCGGGGAACAGGATGTCCACTGAGGGTGTCGAGAGCTCGAGTCGTCCTACTGGTGGGCCCAGCCACACATGAATCGGTATCTGATCATTGTCGACGTCCTGTGTCGGGGTCAGCGTTTCCTGGTCTGGGCTTTTGTTTGGGGGGGCTCTGACAGCGTCCCCTGATTTTCCCATAGAGGGCTGAGAATCCACCCCAAAAATAAACACCGCCACAAGCTAAGCCGTTTTATAAACGCACCCAAGGAAGGAATCGAACAGGGCAGGGCTGTTTAATAAGCGCCCAGGGCAAAGAGAAGGAACGCGAACCGAAAATGCGAGCCTTGCGCCCCAAGAGGACCCCAGGAGGCCCCAAGAGGCGCGCAGGAGGCCTCAAGAGGCCCCAAGAGACCTGCAAGAGGCCCAAACAAGGCACCTAAGAACTGCTTCCGAGAGGCCCCCGAGCGGCCTCCCACGAGCTCCCAACGAACATCCAATAGGTTCTTACCCACAACCCAGGCACTGTGGCGGGATGGGCCGAAGTCTGGTAGATAAGCATATGGAGCTCTGCTTTTATGTGCATATACATGCATACGTGCATACATACATACATACATACATACATACATACATACATACATTACATACATACATACATACATGCATGCATGCATGCATGCGTACATACATACATACATACATACATACATACATACATACATACATACATACATACATGCGTACGTACGTACGTACATACCTACATACATACATACATACATACATGCATGCATGCATGCATGCATACATACATACATGCATACATACATACACACACGTACATACATACATACATCCATCCATACATACATACATACATACATACATACATATACATATACATATACATATACATATACATATACATATACATATACATATACATATACATATACATATACATATACATATACATAAACATATACATAAACATATACATAGACATATACATATCAATATACACATACACATACACATACACACACATATATATATATATATGTACATCCATATTTATAGACATATACCTATACACGTATATATTTATACATATATATATCATATATACATTTATGAATATGTAGATATATATATATATATATGTGTGTGCGCACCGACGACCCGAAACCTCTCAAGAGGAAAGAGCAGAAGAAAGAGAAGCAGGGAGGGGGCAGAGAGAGGAGGAATAGGAGGAAAAGGAGGGGAATAATGAGGAGGATGAGGAGAACAAAGAAGAGGAGGAGGAGGAGGAGGAGGAGGAGGAGGAAGAGAACGGGAACCGATACCGGAGATCAGACAATTCATGAACGAGCGCGCCGGCAAACAACCAGGCGGGACCAGACGAACCTCCGGGCTCATGTGCCCAGGCTGCGTCAGAACAATTATGAACGCAGCCCTCCTTTCGTGAACATTTTCTTTGTCGGTGTTTCGAAATTGGGCGGAAAAGGGGGGGGAGGGGGGAGGGGAGGAGGGGGAGGGTCTGGCTCCACAAATATGCTAAAATGCCACTGTTGGCAACGGTCCGTCTTACGGGGGAGACACCACCTGCTTGAACGGGCGTCAAAAACAGCCAAGATCTACTCCATAGGGGGGAGAGAGAGGGGGGGCGAAGGCCCGCCCCGATCGGCAGAACAGCGCATACGTAAGACATAGAGGAAAAAGAACTATGCACATGCACCGATTCTGGCCAGGCCCATCCTGAGCCCAGGATCGGTGCATACGCCCTCCTACCTTGGCCAGGAAGGCATATGCACCGATCCTGGGTCAAAGATGGGCCTTGCCAGGATCGGTGCATGTGCATAATTCTCTTCGCCCGAAGACAAGGATAAGTTTCCCTCGAGCTGTTTGTGTTCACCCCCGTCCTGGCCGAGCGGACCAGGCGCAGCTGGCCGCGCAGCAGCAGGGCCATGGCCTGATCCCCGGCCGGCCGCCCCAAGCCTTCCGGCACGCCTCTTCCCAAGTGGGGGAGCGAGAAGGAGAGAGAGAAAGGGAGAGTGGGCGAGCAACGACATATGTACATGTACGCCCTCCGCGGTCTTGCCTGCACGAACGTCCGCGTCGACACGCACTCCAGGGGAAACTAACCGCGTACGTGTACATATGTTGCTGGCCTCAGAAAGAAGATACCAGGAAGTTTCAGCTACAACTCCTGGGAGGTCTTTGCATAAGAACGGCGCAGGGCCATTCGAGCCCGATGGGAAGGCCACAGCGCCGAATTCTCCCCGGGATGCAGCCGGGAGTAGGCGAGGCTGAACGGGATTAAGACCGTTCAGTTCGGTTTTCGATCGCGGATCTGCCAGCGCCGATGCTGAATCAATCCCCCAAGAGATGCCGCCTGATGGACGGAAGCGGGGCGAGGCTAGAGAAAGGAGGATGACGAGGCAAGTAACGGAGATTGAGAGACAGAGAAAAAGGAAAACACGCACGGGGCAAGCGGGGCAAAGGGGGTTGGAGGGCGGACGACGCACGCCGAGTATATCGCATCAGGAGAAGGACAATTGAGAAATAGGACAGGGGTAACAATGTCAACGACGATGGACGAAGGGAAAGACGAAACGGGGAGGAAATATGGGGAAGGGAAAGTGGTGGTCAGGGTGCTGAGGTTATCAGCAAGGAGAATTAACACAGGACAATCTAGGCCCTAGGAGCGTAGGCTGCGGTGGCAGGCTGGACAGGGAGGCGGAAGAGGAGGAAGGGCCGGGAGAGGAGGAGGTCGACGTGGCGACGAGATTCGAGGTACGGCGGCTGAGTGCGAGGAGGAATCGGGATATCGGCGTATGAACTGAATTCGTCCTCGTCGATGGCCACCCCGACGCGGATGCACGGCGCGGCGGCGGGGAATGGGTGGACCTGCCTGCTGCGAGCATGCCAGAGGGGGAGGAGGAGGAGGAGGAGGAGGAGGAGGAGGAGGAGGAGGAGGAGGAGGAGGAGGGAGGAGGAGGAGGAGGAGGAGGAGGAGGAGGAGGAGGAGGAGGAGGAGGAGGAGAGGAGGAGGAGGGGGAGGAGGAGGAGGAGGAGGAGGAGGAGGAGGAGGAGGAGGAGGATTTTGTTTCCACTGTGTGCGAACGCCAAGCAAAACTCTGCAAGCAGGTTAAAACTTCGCGACATGAAACATGAGGCTAACTGCATAAATCTGCCTAGCCAGCGTGCGCCTGCAGGGCCGATACGACCGGCAGGAGCCTTGTAGCCTCTACCGGGACCAACCGCGACGCTGCACCCAAAACGGGTGCCACTAGCCACGGCTCTTCCCGCAGCTGTCTAATTACCTCATCTCCGTCGGAAAAGCGGCTGAGCAACTCGAGGTCAGAGACCGAGAGCGCCTTCGCACCCTCGTCAAAACTCGAGCCGGAAAAATGCTGCCCAGAAAAAGCCGAAACTTCCACCTCACCCGAAAGAGCGCTCATAGCCATCTGATCGGAGGGCGCCTCAACCGAAGGAAGCAGCCCCAAACCAGCGTCAACGGACACTCCTGGGCAAGCCTCGGAAAGAGGCTCAGCCAAAATGGCAGCTGAAAGGCGAACCTCATCAGACGGAGGCTCAGCCAAGAGGAGGAGGAAGAGGAGGAGGAGGAGGAGGGAGGATGGCGGATGGCGGATGGAGGAGGAGGAGGAGGAGGAGGAGGAGGAGGAGGAGGAGGAGGTGGAGGAGGAGGGGGGGGAGGATGGAGGAGGAGAAGGAGGAAGAGGAAGAGGAGGAGGAGGAGGAGGAGGAGGAGGAGGAGGAGGAGGAGGAGGAGGAGGAGGAGGAGGAGAAGGGGTACGGTACTGCACGGTTGTCCTCGGAACTGGGGTCAAAGCCCCCTCAGCCGGGGGATGCACAGGCTAAAGAACTCGGCAGCCCAGGACGCCCGCTAAGCGGGTTCAACCGACCCCAGGGGCCAGAACCTTGAAATCAGGAGAAAAAAAGAATGGGAGGCGGCCAAAGCGCACTCAATCGACAAAGGCCCACCCCACCCGCCTATCCCGCCGCCTCCATGGAGCAGGCGAGGGCCTCCCAGATCATCCCCGCGAACACCGCGGAGGCGTGGAAGCCCAGCCCGCGGGCGGGGGGGCGGGCGAGGAGGCAGAGAGGAGGGGACGGGAGGGCAGGTCATCCTCCTATCGAAGCTCCTCAAAACCCGAAACAGACACAAGAGAAACGTTCCACTCTCACCAAACCTGAAACCTTCCCACCCCGATCCACTATCAGCTGCACACGCAGCGAGTCAGCCGACAGCAGAAAAGAGGAGGACTAAAGGAACTGGTGGTGTAGCGGAAAGAAAGAAAAATTAGGAGGCAACAACTACTCAAAGCTAACCAAAGGCAAGCAACGAACCAGAAAAGAAACCCAGATGCCCACCTGCATAACATCCACAACACTCGCCCGTCCCACCACCCCCCCAACTAAGACGGGCTGATCGCAGCTCGGAACCATCGATGGAGATCCGTCTGGATTCTCACACGTTCAGCGGCAACAAGCAATGGACGACTGTCAGCGAACAAGCCGTCAAGACATGGATGCGCCTAGCATCGCGGTCTCCGTCGGCTTTCTCGCGGCGCCTCGTGAGCGCCGCTGCGCGATTAGCTGCAATCCGCTGGAGCATCCCAGAAGCCAAGGGGATGGGCGGGGGAGGGGGAGGCGGCACTACCTCACACGGCATGCCGCCAGAGAGTTCCCTTGCGGATTGCGAAGCACCATGAGCAATATAATGAGTGCCTTCGAGCTCGCCCAGCTCGCCAAGAGTGCGGGTAGAGTCGGGGTGCAACAGACGGGAAATACAAGAAAGAGCTGACGGCTGAGAAACTCGGGACTTCCGAGAAAAACAAAGTCAGGGCCCATCGGGTCCAACTCAGAGGCCACATTCGCAGACTGTGGAAAAACCAAAGAACAAGCGCACAAAAAAACCTTGCACTCGAGCGCGTCTTCCTCCAAGGGCGACAATACGGCCGACTGGCCGATGAGGGGGGGGAAGCAAGGAGTCGAGCATAAAAAGAGGCAATGACATAGCATAACGGGGGGGGGGGGCTTTCCTGGGGGCGCTCTTCCACCTCTTGAGCTCGGGATCCCAGCCTGCCATGGGGGGGGGGCGCCTTGCGTCCGTGCGAGCAGTGCCCTCTGCAAGGCGCGCCGCGGATCCGAGCCTGCAATGATAGGGGCCTCACCCCAAGGGGCCCAGTCGGAACTCTGCCCACCTGACCAAACTCACATTGGTCGAATCGCGTAAACGAGGCCGAAGGGGCCGCCATTAAACCTTTGAGGGCCTGAAAGTGCCAACTGGGAACGCGTCTGGGCTCCCAAGACGGCGGGGCGGGATGTTCGTGCCACCCCGCGCCCCTAGAAACAGCTATGGTAGCTGGCAGCTCAGTGTGGGCTTGAAATAGATCCTTCGCAACAGCAGCCTGAGCTCTTAGAGAGGGCTCGATGCCCGTGATTCACCACGGAGCGTGCCGCGACCTAAGCACTGGGGGACCGCCTTCGCGCCATCTGGCGACCGAAAAAGTCTCGCACGGGGGTCCGCCTCCCAGCCCTATGCTGCGACCAGCGCTCATGTGCTCAGCCCAATGCTGGACCGACGCCGAGCGCGTGAGATCATCCTTGTCTTTGCCCAACAAAATGCCAATAGCCAGGACAACCATAACCAATGAGACGTGTGAATATTTAACGAAATGTCGACTGCATGCTGCATGTCGCCGTCGCGTCTCTGCCCGCAGAAAAAAGATTGGCAATGAACGCGCGACGTCTCAAACGCCTGCGCGGAGCGGGATCTGAGAGGGAGCCACTCAAAGCAGCTGTGTCGCATGGCCATTCAATGTCAGAGGGGGCCGGGTCAAAAACCTCGCCACTCTCATCTCCGACCAAAGACCGCAGGACCTGTCTGCTCCAACCCGTGATGACCTGCACTGTGCCATTGGCGTACGCAGTCGCTTCAGCCGGGGAATCGTTGCGATGGGCTGCGACTGCGTTCTCTGGCAGGGGGCCAGGGAGGGTGTGGGAAGGGAACGTCGCGCATGAGTGTGAACTGCCCTTCCGAGTGCGCTCTGCGTTCTGAGCTTTTTCGAACGCGTCTGACTCCGCGCGCCCATCAAAGTACATGGGGTCAATCTGCCGAAGGTAGTGCACAGGGCAGGCAGGCCGCTAGGAGGCGACGCGTCGCAGCAAGAGGCTGCGCGACAAGCAAAACTTGAGAGACGCCGCGCACCATGCAGTAGACACTCTCGCCCTAGCCAGGTTGGTGCTCGAAGAATGATTGGCGCGAATATGCGCGTCCAGAGATCGCGCGGCATCAAACTTGCTCGCGCAGAAGTGGCATGATAGCTTGCCCTCAACTGGCTTAGGCGGGGGCAAGTCCTTCCTACCTGGCAAGCCATGCTCTCGCCTTGACATCTCGTTTCAAACAGGCAGCCGATGCAAGCAATGCCTCCTTGAGGTTTCTTTTCCAAGCGGACTGTGATCTGCGCAACTCCGCCAGGCACTGATTAGGCCCAAGGCTTGGCAGGGAACAATTCTCAAATCTAAAATGAGCGGAACGAAGCCATTCAAGATCCGATACAAATTCATGGAGCCACATGCTCTGTGTGACACGAAGCTCTTCTTGTAGCACAGCTTCAAGGCATCAGGGCCAGCATGAAACATTCGGCCAGACAGGCGGGGCCTCGAGACTCGGAGTAGGGAGGGCGCCAGGGGTCGATCCGCCGCCGCCAGCACCTCCCTGTCGGTCGGGCCACCTTTCTCAAACCTGGGCATGCGCAGTATGGATCGGTTGCGTCGGGCATGCGGCGATTGGAATCGGCCGCTTCGGACTTATGGAGGAAGTGCCAAGTGCCTGATGTATGCGTTGCGGGATTGACCGACAGGCTGTCGAGGAAGATGAGCTTTGGGGCCGTGTCCCGCCCTGGGGCCTTGGCTATCGCACAGCGTGGGGTCTTCATG